GTACCTGAGCCCCCAGTATCCCCAGTCTCTGATCCTCATCATTACCTGGGCTACCAGTATGCCCAGCACCACGCCCAGCTGGTGCAGGGTGCCGAAGGCCCCCCGGAGGCCCGTGGGCGAGATCTCGCCGATGTACATGGGCACCAGGCCGGTGCACAGGCCGCAGAACACCCCGATGAGCAGGCGCCCCGCGATCAGCATCTCGAAGGAGGCGGCCGCCGTGCTGAGGCCCATCAGCAGCCCGCCCACCAGGCACACCACGTTGACCAGCAGCATGGAGTTCCTCCTGAGAGAGCAGGCAGACAGGCCGGCTGAGTGCGGGTGTGCTCGGGGCCTCACCGGGCTGAGGACTACATGTCCCACCGTCCCCCTGCAACAGCCAGGCCTGCAGGGGGACGGTGGGACATGTAGTCCTCACCCCGGTACTGCACCCAGATGCACTGTGGGTGATGTTGTGCAATGACGGCTGTCCCGTCTGAGCGCAAAAACCGTTGCCGACTGGACACGGCGCTGGGGCCCTGGGTTCAATTCCAGACCTGGGGGGCTGTCTGTATGTTCTCCCTGTGTTTGCGGGCTTTGCTCTGGGTGCTCCGGGCGGATCCAGCCCGAAGACACACTGGCAGGCTCTGGCGTGAATGCGTGCCTGTCTGTGTCTGTGTCTGTCGCTGCCCTGCGATGGACGGACGTCCTGTCTCCTGCCTCGTGCCCACTGCTTGCTGGGAGAGGCCCTGGCTCCCCTGCAGCCCTGCACTGAATGAATAGTTCGGGATGCATTATAAGAGAAGAGAAGGTCACTTTATTGGCCAGATACAATTTCTTGCATGAGGAGTTTGTCTTTTCGCAGACCCCAGCTTGCTCTCCAGGAGACACACAGGGAGAGAGAAGCTGGGGGTCAGAGCGCAGGGTCGGCCATTGTACAGTGTAACCCCGGCGTCCTGGCCAAATTTCCCATTGGCCCTCACCAATCATGGCCTCCTAACAATCCCCCTCTGTGAATTGGCTACTTGACTCTGCTCTCCTCCCCACTGAGAGCTGGTGTGTGGGGAGCGTTCTGGCGCACTATGGCTGCCGTCGCATCATCCAGGTGGGGCTGCACACTGGTGGTGGTGGAGGGGATCCCCATTACCTGTAAAGCGCTTTGAGTGGAGTGTCCAGAAAAGCGCTATATAAGTGTAAGTAATTATTATTATTATTATTACAGCGCCCCTGGAGCAGCTGGGGTTCAGGGTCTTGCTCAGGGGCCCAACACAGTAAGATTCCTCTGCCGGCGGCGGGATTTGAACCGGGAACCTTCCCCGGATTGTGTACAGCGCCGTGAAGCTGGGAAACAGGCGTGACTCCAGCAATCTCACACCGGAGAACTGCGGCTTCCTTCCGCGCCCCCGCCAGGCCGACACAGCGCCAGCGCCGTGCCTCCCGGGGAACGGGAGAGCCGGGCCGCGCGGAGGAGGAGGGAAAGGAGCGCCCGCACGCTCACCTCCCGAAGCGGTTGACCAG